CTCCCCACCTTAGGCATGGGGAGACATGAGCACAGGTGTATGTGCAAAAGATTGTCTAGGCAACTTGGGGTTTAATACTGCAAGCTTTTCCTTTTCAATATTATTGTTTTATTTTGTTTAATCTTGAGAGACTGATTGTAGCTTATGACTTTTTAAAATTCTGTTTTGTCAGCAAATTGTTCACATCTTGTGGTTTACCAGCCCAAGAATCACCCGCATTTTCTGTTTAAAACTAGCTAGAAGCAACTCCTTATGCAGGGTGAAAATTCAGTAACCTCTGACTTTGGTCTCTGAACTTGTCTCTGGCACTCAGTTTCTTTTTCCTGCTGTTGTCTTTCTGTGTGGGTGTGACTTTTCTATCGTTAATTTGTTTATAAAGAACAAACCAATGGATTTTCAAATTCAACATGGACTATCACTGGAGAATTACTTCCTCCAGATGGCTTACAAAAGACTAATCAAGATTCTGTCGGTCCTATTCTGCTTTCATTTCTCTTTGGAAAAGATTCCTTGTTAAATCTGAGATAAATTTGGAGAGGTCTTCCTATGGAAAAGAGGCCTCACTTGGAAAAGGATGAAAACCATTGAAATATAGAGCCAGTAATGTGTAAGCACTAAATTCTTAGTGCTTAAGACACTGTGTTCTCCTCTCTCTTAATGTTCTGAAATACTACTGTGGAGTTGTATTTTGTCTGGTAGAATTCATAATTATTGGGATTATAGCTAAAGAAAAAGATAACCTTTTTTGTATACAGTATGCTGTGTTTGCACAGCAGCTTATTTACTCTTTGAACGGTCTCTGCCTAATAAGGATAACTGGAATTTCTTAAATGCTATAAAATTAAGACAGGGGAATATGCTACAGATGAAGAAGATGAAGACATGGGACCTGTCCTTCCAGGAGGTGACATGGCTATTGAAGTGTTCGATCTCCCTGAAAATGATGACATGTTCTCCCCCAGTGATGTGGACACCAGCAAGCTTGCTCACAAATTCAAAGAGGTAAGTTATAGATCAGAAAATATTCCTGAAATATCTCACTGGAATTAGATTTCTAGTAATCTCATTGCTCAGTGCTTCTTTTTTCTCTTGAAAACTAGAGTTGATTTCTAGCTGTTTGTGTACTCGGTACTTTTGGATGACTCAAACAGTTCTGCTTAAAAGAAGTGGAACTGTTCTTCAGAGTTGTTTTAGCATCAGCTTTCAGGTGACCGTTGCATCAATGGAGAGTGATTTATAATTTTTCGGCATAGAAGTTATTCTGCCTCAGCACTTAGTTTGCATTTTTTGATCAGGAAGACAAAGTGCAAGTTAATTCATTACTAGCAGATTGCTGCCTTTATTTTTTCTTTTTTGTAAGATTCCAATCAAAAGTGATCAGGAAAACCAAACAGCAAATGCTAAATTTCACTGAAAAGGGACGTGTGGAGCTCATCCTATACCATTACGCAGCGACTTGTCAATGTACAGCAGTGTCATATGTTTGGCCATGTGTTTAGAAAGATGCTGTATTGGGGAAGCAGGCATATTTCAAGCTGGTGTTTTACCAAACTCTGCGGTTACACAGTTTGTATAGCGTCCACTGGTGCTAACTGGGGCTTGAATCAGTGGTGTGCATTGCGGTCATTGAATTCATATAACTTAACATACCGAAGTACTGAGAAACATTTCTTCCATATTTTAGGCTGTGCTTTTGATGTGGTATATTTCTGAGCTTTCCTGAATTCTGATGCAGATAAAGACATGAAACAATTGGATTTATCTAAGCCCACAGTAATGGGCTGAGTGATGACAATAAAGAACATTCTTTTTAAGTACGGGAAGGTGGAAGGGGTGAAAGTAGCCAGAACCTCATAGGAGATTTGAGCAGCAGAATCTGGGCCCAGAAAGGAGTTTTAAAATACAGAGGCTCCCTTTTTATTCTTCTTCCCCCGTGCCCTCCCCTTCCCCTTCCGTCCACTGAAGCCAGATATTTTATCTTCTATCTCTAGTGAGAGTAATGTACGGAAAGTAATCAATGAGCAACCAGTCTTTCCCTTTTCTGCTGATACCCTTTTCAGCCTTTGGATGCCTACTGTTATTCATCGTTGTTTCCTGAAAGTTTTTTACTTCACTTGAACGATAATTTTCTCACTCCATATTTCAAGTTCCAGGCTCTTATGCAAATTAGCAGAACAGTTTACTTCATTTTCTAATACTTTGCATCATACGTAGTGATACTTTCTCAAAGTGGTGGGAAGATGCTGCCATTCTGGTTGTGCCAGTGTACCAAGGCTATGCAAACCACAGATGCAGTGATGGGCAAGACACTCACCTTTGAATAAAGTACCTGTAAAACTATGCTTGAATACAGTTTCCATCAACTTGGGCTATTGCCATACTTGAGCATGTCCAAACTGATTTGAAGCTATTTGCAGACCTGTCTGATATAATGGCCCCAAAATGCTGGTGTAGAGGAGATCAAATGAAGGGACTTTGGGATCCTCCAGTTTAAGTGCAGATGAGAGCCTGAGAAGAAAACATTAAATGCTCCTGGGTAAGAGTGGACTCTTTTTCACTAACCCACGCAGTTACTGCTGTTACAAGCATGCCACTTTTGTTTCGCTGATTTTATTTAACAGTACACAGCTGCATTTTGTTGGCTGCTACAGAGCGAGTACATGTATTTTTCTTGGTATTTGCCCTGAATTCTTTCAACACTAGAGGACTTGTTCACGATCACGCTGCACAAGCCCACACAGTGTTTTCTGGAATTGTATTTAAAGAATAACTGTTCTTTCTTGTTCTTACTCCAGAGATTAATGAAAGTATTAAAGAAGTGGGTTAGACATAATCTTTAAGCATAACAGTTTGGCCTAATTAGTTGAATTCAGTCTTTGCTATGAAAAATGTGCTCACATACCTTGAGAGCACTCTTATTTGAAATGCCTTGCTTTTGGAATGAAAGTCAGAAGAGAGATGGGCATTCCT